AGGGAGAATAACTACTACCAGCTGCCTAGCCACTCAACCTGGCCCAACCAAGTTCCAACAACTTTAACTACCATAATTCTACCCCTTGTCCACTTGGCACCTGTACAGATCTTCACTGGGTGGCACCTGTACAGATGAACTTTACTGGGTGACTCCAGTTCTCTAGTTCCTCTGAGTGGTGACCTTACCCCCTTGGCCTCATAGGCCCCGTTCCTCTACCTCTTGGGCATGGCAGCCCTGCCCCCTCACTCTTGGACAGCAGCTATGGCTCCATCCCACTGGCCCACATAAACGAGCAGCACCACACTCCAGAACCAAGTTGGTGATGGTCTGACTCTGAAACCCAGGGGGCTATGGTGATTCCACCCCCAGAGACAATGGCCCTACCCTTTGAGGCTGAGGCAGCTCGGCTTCCCATTTCCTTGGTCTCTCCATTTCTTCCAATTAATGTTGAAGGCAACCCACTCCACTGGAAATCTTCCTGCTCAAAAAAGCACTCAGATTTCTTGCTCCATGGGCCAGCCAACCTGCTACTCCATTTCATACCAGTCTTTTCTACCAATTAACACCCAAAGGCAACCCACTCTGCCAGGAAGCTGCCTACCCAGTGGCACCCAGCTTTCCCTTCTGTGGGCTGCTAAGCCTGTTGTCTAATGCCTGTCTCCTGACTCTGCTACTGCCATCTGTCTGCCAGTGTCTTTCTATGCAGGAATCTTGGGTGAAGGATGCACCCCACTTCTGTTTCCACACTTAAGGTATCTCTCAGAGCAGCACTCCACTCTCAGTACTATGTTCTGTTTTGGTTACCTGGTGCTGCTCTGGCACGAATACACCACAAATGGGATAGTTTGAACAAACAGGAGTTTATTCTCTTACAACTTTGGAGGACTAGAAGTCTGAGTTCAAAGTGCCGGGTTCTAGGGGCTGGGTGAAAGCCCTTCAACCTTTGGCTTCAACTCTGACTCTTGCTTCCAGCCCACTGAAGCTAGAGGTTTTCTTCACTCAGGCAGCTGCTGGCTGCTGAGGCTGACAAACCCAAGGTCAACAAGTAAAAAGATAGTCCTGATACTACCACACCACATGACAGACCATTGATTCAAATCCATTAACAGTCCCAAGATCGGCAAAGCATGCAGGCTGCTAAATGAAGACTCGGCTACATGCAGGGTTCAAGTGGGCCAAAAAACTAGAGACCGTTCCCAAAGCTGCTTCTTATATACGGGAAGCAGACCTCATTCCTAAAGCAGCTACTCCGCTGCCTGTAGCAGATTCCACCATGGAGTTAATTGCCAGTCTCATCACAGGGAATAATTACCTTCAGCTGCCCAGCCATTCAACCAGGCCCAGCCAAGTTGACAACAACCTTAACTACTACAGTGGTTGTGAGAATTAAATGAGAAAATCCATGTGAAGCACTTAGCACAATCCATGGCACCTATGCATTACTCAAAATACAGATACTACTACCATCATCATTATTGTCATAAAAATCATTTCATAATTCTTAGGAATCTGATAAACAGTTATGACTTCTTTTCTACAGACTTGTAAAATTGTATAGTTGCACTTCACAAACTCAAGGATTTTCTCCTGGTATTAAATTATGTATAGCAGCATTTAGGTTGTACACTGCATTCAAGCAGTATTTATTGTCTATTTTATGCCAGACTGAAGTGAAAACACCAACTTGAGACAAAGAAGTCCAAGAATGAAAGAACCCAGGAAAAGTTTAAGAGTGCAGAGACACGCAAACAGCAAGTAGACAAAGATGGAAGATTCAACATAAAGGGTCATCAGAGGTCAAAATATCCATCAGTAAAGGTTGGCCAAAAATTAGAAAGAAAAAGTGAACTAGATCCACTCATACATAAGACCCCAAACTGCACAGAACAATGAATTTAAATGTTAGATAATATTTTTCAAAATGCTGGAGCTAGGTCTTATTAGGGAAGAGGAGAAAGTCCACAGGCAAAGAACAAGGATTTCAATTATTACATATTACATATCTTTTCACCATCCGATGTGTTCCTATTTGAAAACAAAAATAATGAACAATAATAATTTGTTTTAAAAAGTTTAACTTCTGTGTCTCACAAAAACATGCAAGGACCAATTGGAAGATACTTTATACATCCAATACCTGTGCCCCAACACCTTTTCTCTCCCACCAGAACCCTGATTTGTGCATTTAAGAGCAGCTTCACAGAGAATCAGGGCCCATCTTATAAGCTGACCATGAAAAACAGAACGAAGGATGGTAGAGAATGCTAGGGGCTCCAGAGAGCCAGGACACACAGTAGATATAGTCAACTGCAGTGCCAAGTGAGATGGCTAAGATTGTTCTTCGCTCACTCAGCATAAAAGCCCCAAAGGATACTGAGAGCTTGGCAACCTTCAAAAGCTTCTCTTGCTTCCTGCATCGGGAGAAACAGCTTGTTTAGTGGGAAAAACCATAGCCCAGGGCCAATCCACTGGCAAGATTCATCAAAGGAATGACTGAGGCAGAACAGATTTTCCCTTTCCGTATAGGAATGACTCATGGGCTTGTTTATTCAAAGAGTTACATCCTCCACTGGGAGAGGTGGTTGATGGGGGAGCTGGATGATAATAATAATTGATATACATATTGGTCAATCCCTACCCTCCTGTCCTTCATCACATCTCTTCATGCACAGTTACAAGGACACACCATCAATGTCCAGAAAGTAGTCAATAAGTTTTTTTCACTCTGCCTTCATTTCCCATTTTAAATAAAGCAAACAATACAATGACTCTCTTTTAGTTACTCTTAGTGCTTTAGAAAGGGAATACATTTTAGTAGCTTGTTGCAGTTGTTGTTAGATGCCGTCAAGTCAGCTCCTAGAATGAAACACTGCCCAGTCCTGCACCAGCCTCACAATCCTTGCTAAACCTGAGCCCATTGTTGCAGCCACTGTGTCAGCCCATCTCGTTGAGGGCCTTCCCCTTTTCACCAGCCCTCTACTTTACCAAGCATGATATCCTATTCCAAGGAACGGCCCCTTATGACAACATGACCAAAGTAGGTGAGATGAAGTCTGGCCATTCTTGCTTCCAAGAAGTACTCCGGCTCCAAGAAGCACTTCTTCCAGGGCAGATTTGTTAGTTCTTCTGGCATTCCATGGTACTTTCAGTATTCTTTGCCAACACCACAATTCAAAAGTATAATTCCTCTTAGTAGCTGTTGTTATTGCTGTGTTTGCCATCTAGTGGGATCTGACTTATAGCAACCCCTCCTTGGGTTTCCGAGGCAGTATCACTACAGAAGTAGATTGCCCAATCTTCCTTCCGAGGAGTGGCTGGTGGGTTTGATATGCCAGCCTTCTGGTTAGCAGTCAAATGCCTTAGGCACTACGCCACCAGTAGCTAAGTAGAGCCTAATTGCCTGGGTTAAATCTAACTCCTGATTTCCTGAGTTAAAAGCTGTGTTACCCTGGACAAATTACTTAACTGTATTTCTGTCTACAGGAGTGGGGATAACAATATTACTTACATCATAGGGTTATTATGAAGATTAAATTAATTAATACATAGATAACAATTCCAAGAACATTGTCAATTCTCTGTAAATACTTGTTACTTCATAGATGACCAAATATTCTTCTATTGTTGTTGTTGTTGTTGTTATGTGCCGTCGAGTCAGACCTGACTCATAGCGACCCCTCCTTGGGTTTCCGAGGCAGTATCACTACGGAAGTAGGATTGCCCAACCTTCCTTCCGAGGAGTGGCTAGTGGGTTTGAACCGCCAGCCGTCTGGTTAGCAGTCAAGTGCCTTAGCCACTATGCTACCAGAGCATTACAGTCCTTTTATTCAGCATTACCTTAAAAACCCAAACCAAACCCACAGCGATCAAGTGGATTCTGACTCATAGCAACCCCCATTGGGTTTCCTAGGTGGTAAATCTTTATGGAAATAGACGGCCTCATGTTCCTTCCACCAAGTGGCTGGTGGGTTTGAACTCCCAACCTTCTGATTAGCAGTCAAATGCCACAGGCACTGCACCACCAGACCCCCTTCAGTATTACCTTAACAAGATAAAATTAAATCATAAATGGAATTAGGCATTTGGGAGTAAATACATTTCCTCTATGGACAACATCTTCTCAGGCTAGGGAGATTTTATGAGAGTTTCAAGAACTCTCTCATGGAAAAAGTATGTTGTAAGTATGGGTAAATGTTTCTCTATACCTGACGAATAATCTTTTGTCACTTACGTATGTACAGAGGGAGAGAGTTCTAAATGGATGAACAGACAGATGGATGGATAGACAGACAGATAGATAGAGATTTTATTTGTTCCTTTTCCAGAACCTTTGGAAAATCATTGCAATTGTTTTTACGTCCCACTGAGTCACTTCTGACTCATAGCAAATGCATATGACAGAGTAGAACATCCCCATAGGGTTTTCTAGGCTGCAGTCATAGGGAGAAGATTGCCAGGTCTTTCTCCAAGAAGTCACTGAGTGGGTTCAAACCAGCAACCTTTTGGTTAGCAGCCAAATGCTTACCACTGCACCACTAGGGCTCCACATCATGGCAATAGAAGAGTTTACTAGTCATTTTTTCTCAGTTCTCTATGTAAAGGATTCTCAAAGACAAAAGATACAGAGACATATCTAAATTATTTCCTCCATAGCCTTTGTCTTTCATACATGAGGATACTAGAAGTTGCTGCAAATGTGTTCTCTAACACTTGTAGAAAAATTAACATGTTAATGGATTATTCTAATCCTTTTAGTCACGGTGACTACGTATTCTACCTTTAATGAAGGAAGGCTTAGCTACTTTTTCTGGATTTCACTGGTCTATGAAATTCTTTTCAAACATTAACCCAAAGACAGAGGTTTTTAGACATAAATGTCTATGTACTTGCATATTCTTTACTGCTTTGCAATATATTTAAGTGAGAGATAATCCCCGTCAGTGTTCTTCTGGCTCAGCCTGTCTGTGATTACATGAACCATGGGCTGTTCTACTCACTGGGCAAAATCAAGACATCATCCCCAGGGCCTGGGATGGTGTCATTGTGTCCTCCCCAGCCCTCTGTAACACCTTGCCAGGTTTCAGGCAGGGACCATTTTAAAGTGGAGTCTGGTGTAGAAGAAGAAGCTAGAAAACAAAAAGAAAATAAGAAGGGTAATGATGAAAATCGGGTTCATTCTGACAGCTTCTAAATTCTATCCTTATTTTAAGATGCTGGTTATAATTTCACCTGCCAAAGTAGCTGCCTTTCAGTATTTTATAAGCCTCTATAAAAATAATTATCAGGTAGAAAGAAATAAATTATTCAATCCATAAATTGGCACTACTTAAAAGAAAAAGATATTCTATTTTGGTTATTGGTCATTTGTGTTTTATCTTGTTATAATTATTGCATATGCTTATTTTGGAATATGCAAATAAAGAGAAAGAAAAATAATAATTGCCCATAATCTCACCACCTAGATAAAACTGGCATTAACGTTTTATTGTATTTCTTTCCAGAACTTCTCAGCGTTTTTACTAATTGAGTGTTTTTTCTGCTTAGCTTAGCAGTTTTTCATAAGCATTTTCTAATGTCATTAAAATTTCTTACAAAAAATAATCTTAATGTCTACATAATAATCTAACACATGCAAGTCCTAATTTACTTAGTCCCTAATGCTTGGCATTTAGGCTCCTTTCACTTTCTTTTTAACTATATTGTATCTTTATACAAACTTGTCAATAATCTTTTTTTTTTTTTTAAGATAGATTCTTAACAATGGAATTACTGAGTCAAAGGGTATGATCTTCTCACAGCTCTTAACATCTATTTAAATAGGGTAGTAACCTCAACCTATGTTATCACAGTAAATTGCTCAATTTAGAGTTCTGTTTCAACTGGCTTTTATTGATTGTACCTCTGATGATCGAATGGCATTTTCTTTTCAATCATTCTACTGACCTCTCCATCAAAGAATGAAACTTAAGTACAATCATTTCTTGGGTGGGGACTGTCCAGTATCATACATAGATAGAGCTCTGTTAATCATTCCAATCTTACTGTAGTCAGAATTATTGACACTGTGATTTCACTGTTTTCCATAGAGCTCTGCAGTACATAAAATATGTTGTCGTCGTTATGTGCTGTCCAGTGGGACCCGACTCATAGCGACCCTTCCTTGGGTTTCCAAGGCAGTATCACTAAGGAAGTAGATTGCCCCATCTTCCTGCCAAGGAGTGGCTGGTGGGTTTGAACGGCCAGCCTTCTGGTTATCAGTCAAGTGCCTTAGGCGCTATGCTACCAGAGCTCCTAAATAAAATATACCTATATAAATTTTGACATTAGCATAAAATATAGGCCATACCATGAGAATCAAGCAATGTTTTGCAATAATGTTAATATGTGAAATTTCCTCCCAATGGATGCTAATATAGTAATTCTGTTAACTCCTTGTGTTTGGAAATCAAACACTATATAATTATATATATCTGTTGTCGTTGTTGTTATATGCCGTCGAGTCGGCCCCGACTCATAGCGACCCCTCCTTGGGTTTCCGAGGCAGTATCACTATGGAAGT